CGATTTTAAGAATGGCCGACCTCTATCTCCCACTTCGGTCTCATCTGCCGCATCGCCTACCCACCGTATGGTCTCAGCGATACCGAATACCGGACCTGTACCTTTAAATCACTCCGATGGTGCTCCTATAAGTAATGCAATCAGTCAAGAGGCTATTCGATCACCCGTATCTGTTGGGAACACGTCATTTAGTCTTGAAGAAGACGAGGGTTTTTATGCCAGTACTACAGATGGTGTTCGAACCATGGCTGGTCGAGGTCGTAGCGTTGGGACCACCCCAGTATTTCTTAACCCTCCTTCAATGATCTGTTCCCCCTCTCCTCGGATTGATGACCCCGGTTATGCCTCGAATTCTAATGCTGCAGATCCTTCATCCGTAACCCCCGCATTGGAGGCCTCCGGGAGACGATCCAGAACACTTATAATGAATGGACAATGCTCATCGGCATCGGTTCATCCACGCCCTACAACCAGCACTCCCAATTATCGTCCTGTATCATCCACAGCAGGACCAACAAAATCGATCCTCCGTCACTCTCAAGATATGCCTCTTTCATCGCATGATGGCACAATTACAGACTATGGCTACACAAGTAAACTTTCTTGCTCTAAATTCTTGCAAGTGGCCCTTTGGTTTTTTCATACATTTACATTATAATTATTTATTAATTAAATACACTTGGTTCCTCTTAGCTAGTCTCTTAAAATCTTTGATTTGTCGTGTTCCCTTACTAGTTTTTTTGCCACTCTTTGCTACTCTGACTCATTTAATTTTGATTTTCCTATCATTACTGCTATTAACTATCTTGTCTTGATCTATCTCAATATGAGAAACAACATTTCCTTTCAATAACTCTGTGAAAACAAAGCAGCAAATTATATACTCTTTCTTTGGAGCTTATCTTTGGTTAACCGAGGGTATTTTATATAAATATCACAACTTAAAATAATTATTCCAACCGTTTAGAAGAAATTAATGAAGATCTTGGGGCATTTTATTTCTAACCTAGGACCAAGTTAAATAAGTGCATCTCTTGTAAGGGTATATCTCAGCCTCCGCCTCAATTATATAAAGTATAGAGGTTTGTTTTCGTTTTTTAATGGCCTACCTCAAAGTTTGATGAAATATTTCTTAATCTCGCCGTTCTCACTTTGTGGTCATTGCAGCACATGCTCTCTATATGAGACCACCATTACGTATACAATAGTAATTGAAAGAAAAATGAGAGAGGGACAGTGAGGTTGGTGGAGTAGAGGGGGGGG